AAGGCCTACAAAGCCCTCTGCATTCTCTTTTTGAGACAGGGTCTCACTATGCAGTTCAGGCTGGCCTTAAGCTCACTTTGTAACCCAGGCTGGTCTCAATCTTGCAACGATCCTCCTACCAAGTGCTGGGATTACAGGTGTGCGCCACCGCACCTGGCTTTCCCTCTGTATTGTGCCTCCTTGGGTTCCTCCCTGTGCCCTATTTCTGTTTCTGAATGCCATCCTCATACATAAGGCCAAATGATCTGTTCCCTAAACTGCTATGAAGTGACTGCAGTGTCTGCCATCAGTTCATCCACCAGCCTCTCTCTCCCTAATCACAGCTCTCACTATGCTGACCGGCACAGCTGGATTCTAGCTGTGCTCTTGAGAGCAATGTGACCAATCCATTTAATCCAACAATGAAACCTATCAGCTCCATATCACGACAAGCTCAGAATCCACCCACTTTGTCCATCTCTACTATCACTCTGTTTGGTCAAAACCACCATCATGGATGCACGTGATTGTCTTTCTGTTTTTACTGTTACCACTTGACTCATCATTCATGTAAGTTTACTTTTGAAATATTATGTCTATACTGACAGAGCAAAAAGTATGTTCAATACAGCTGTGTGACATGGGGAAGTTTAATCCCTTTAATGCTGCACTAAGCCACCACTCATTCACTGTGTATCATATCAACCTGTTTTACTCTCTTTATGGAACTTACCAAGCTACTACTTCCTGTGTCATCTGACCCTCTTACACACACACACACACACACACACACACACACACACACTTCATGACAACAGGAACATTATCTGATTTGTATCCTTAGCCTAAGGATTCAGAACAATGCCTGCACATAGTAAATATCACAATTTTTTACAAAAATGTCCTTCCCTCTTCCTGTAACACTGTCCCCTCACCTCTTCACCTTGTTAACTTCTCTTTGTCAGCACCACTTCCTTGGGAGAGTCTTCCTGTTTCTGCCATGTCTCGTTTACATTCCTTTGTCACAAATCCTCAGAGATGTGCCCATTTCCGTCAGGGGACTCATTACGCCTGATGACTGCACCCTTATCTATGGGTCTCCTCACTGAAACACAAGCTGCTCGAGAGGAGGATTCATTCCTCTTTTGCTTACTGTGATTTCCCAGCAGAATGTTTAGCACATGCTCTCTAGATATCCTTTGAGTAAATAAAAAAGGAATAAATATTAAGCAATATGAAAATTCATTCATTTGAAATTCACCACAAATTTGGATATATTAAGTTGCAGGGACTTACATTCATTCATCCAATGCAAATGGAGCAACGTGAGTTATTTGAAGGTGTCATAATGGCTGTTGTGGGAGAAATGAAAGTTCAAATGCTAGCTGCTGTTGGAGAACCTTACCTTAAGGAGGCACTCTGTCTTTAAAAGAACAACCTACCCCACTATTCATTTGTGTATTTAAATTTTCAACCTAGAAAAGACAGGATGGAAAGAGGTAAAGTATTGGTTTATTCACCCTGAGCTATGGATGACCTGGCAGAAATCCCTGCAGAGAAGTCCAGAGCCCAGCTGGCAGGAGAGGGAAGGGGCAGGAGCTTGCCATTCCTTCTTGGTCAGTTTGACTAAATCTAACTCAGATCAGTCACCAGTGAACTAAAACTTCAAAGAAATCAGACTCTATGTATAAAAACCCCAGTTGGAAAAGTGTTTTGTTAATATGAATTAATTAGGATTGTTATGTGCAGTCGTACTGAAAATATGTCCCTATGCAATAAATGCAATGCTTTGCCCTACAAGGACTTGACACCAATTCCAGGTGTGGAAAAGCTCGGGATTCTGTTCCCTTAGGACTGTGGACTGCAAAGACTACATGACGTCATCCTTTTTCCTCCCTGATACAGTAAAAGTGTTTAACAGATTTCCGGGAATGATGGTGCTGCTATATGACAATGCATGACTCAGCCTAAGCATCTTGGAAGGGGAGGAGGAGATAAGACAGGATCTCCTTGTAAGCACACCATGCCCAGCCTGCTGTGCACTTTATGAGGACTCCCTTCCTCCTCATCCTGTTCCTTTCTAACCCAATTGGGAAGTACTACATATACACAAATACAGATGTGTTGATTATTCATATTTTTTATTTTCATATACATTGAACAATAGACTTTCTGTGGTTGGATATGGTTTGACTGTGTCTCTGAGAGTGCTTTTGTTGGGAGTCTGAACCTGAATGTGGCCATGCAGAGGTGATGGAAATTTCAAGAGGTGGGGTCTTGAGAGAAGTTTTTATGTCACTGAGGAAGCTGCCCTCAAAAGCCATTAAGGAAACTTTCATGGAACTCCCCAAACTCTCATCCATTTATTACAAGAGGAGCTTGACCTTTCAATTACTCTTTGGCTTCTTGTATTAATGAGATCTCTCCTTACATATGTTCTTGCCATCTGCCATGAAGTTCTCACCAGTGCCAAGCAGATACTGGTACCAGTGCCCTTGAATCCCTGGAACTGTGAGCATCTTTCTTTATAAAATTAGTCTGTCTTGGGTATTTTAAAACTGACTAAATGCACCTAAACCTGGCCCTCATTAAATGAGGATTTTCAAGATAGAATGCTTCATTCTCAAATCAAAATTAACTCTTATAAAGTTTTTATTAATTATGAAGAAATCTCATGCATAAAACATGATTTGGAAGGACTTTTAATATTGGAAATTGTCAGTCATTATTTGCATTTCTGTAAATATAAACACACACAGCCAGCTAAAATAAATAGATGTTATCAATGCTTTGCTCTATATAGCTGCCCCATCTAGCTATACCCTGAAAGGAAACTTCCTGCAGCCAGGTATTAGTTCTTTATCACTATAATGAAGTACATGCAACCAACTACTTATGAAGACAGGAGGTTTGTTTGGTTCACAGCACTGGAGACCCAAGGACCAAATGGCTCAGACTCTGTGGTAGAGGTCAATTCCTGGCTGCTTCACTCATGGCATAGAAAACAATGTCAGGATCACACGCAGGACCAAGCAAGTGATTACATCTCAAACCAGAAGCAGAGAGGATGGCTTGCTCTTATTACAACATTCCTCTCCAGAGAACTCAAAAGGTCACACAAGAACTAGTTCACGCCTCCAGTGACCTGAGGACTTTCTATTCAGCCCTCTGTTCCAGCATCTTCTGGGAACCAAATTTCCAACACATAAACCCCAAGGAAGACACAAACTAAACTATATTTAGGTCATAGCAGATCACTTGAAAACATTTGCCGAATGATTGAATGGAACACAGAGATCAAATGCTAACTCCCAGGAGGACCTGAGACCCTTAGTAGGAACAAGCACATGACCCCCTTAGTACCATGAGTGAATCAACCACCTGTGCCAACTAGAAAAATTTATTTATTGGGTGAAGAATATCAGTTTTCAGTGATGTATCAAATTTTCCCATCCATAACCTCACCAAACTATTAACTTTGCTGATGTGTTCATGGCAGCCTCATTTTCTTCCTTGGATGTGAGTGATACATAGCCCTACACAGGCCACTTAGTATCAGTAGGAAAGCCAGCAGGGATCCAACTTCTTGGGGATTTTGAATTCCTGAAATACAACAATAAGGAAATTTTCCTTTAAAAAAAAAGCCTACTGTCCTTTTTTGTTCCAATTTTTCTTAGGGTTGCTGGAGCACACCTGAGGTCCCAGCACTCAGAATGCTGAAGCAGGAGGACTGCCATGAGTTTGAGGCCAGCCTGGGTTATGTAGTAAGTTCAAGGGCAGCCTGAACTACAAATGGAGACCCTGTCTCAAAAAACAAAGTGAAACAGAATCTTTGAATCAAGTTATTCCCTGCCATTACTAACTTTCTAATTGTCAGAAACTCTGAGCACACCATTTGACCTTTTGTTTAACTAAGATAATAGATCCTATCTCCTTTACCCTAATGCCCAGCAGTGAGAATGTTCTCCAAGTAATTCAGGAAGGCCCTGTAGGGCATTTTGCACAGATTTTTTTGAATGGCCCTCAGAAACAAAGTCCTCTGTGCAGGGTTAAAAATCCCTCAGGGAACTTCTTTCCTTTAACAGATTTTCCAGAAGGTAGGTGCTGAAGGCCTCTTTTTGATTCTTTGCCCTAGTTAAAAGCATCGTGGTAAAGGACATGTTTCATTCCCATTTTTCACTTTACAAATGATGTTAACCTAAGTGAATTCCTGTATAGGCTCAGAAACAAAGCAGCCAGTGATATTCCCTGGTTTTTCACATCTATACTTGTGTCCACAAAAGAAGAAATTCTCCTCTGGTGTCCACTAAACTACTGAGCTAGAATCCCAGAAATGCGGTCTCCTGCCTGTACCCACAGGCTGTGTGAACTGGGTAAAAAGCAGCCTAGCAGAGATAACTGGAAAGAATCCTGACAACACAGATGTCTTCCTTCCTTTCCAGAAAGGGAATGTTGACTGTTATTTTTTTCTTACACCCTGTAAAACCAACAAGTGTCCTCTCCATGTGGACAGACACACATTTTTTCTAAGATAATAACTGACCACAGCAAGACAATCAAGTCCTTTATTATTTTCCTTTATTTATTTTTGTGGGATGAATTATGTCCTCAGAAAAGATACAATCAAGTCCTAAACTCATGGGTCCTTGTAGATATGATCAACTTAACATGAGGCCATACTGGAGTAGGGTGGGCCTCGTCCAGTGACTCACGTCTCTGCCTCAGGGAAAAGATAGACAGAAGAACATACAGAACTATGGGAGACTCCAAAAGCTAAGATAGCCCGGGGACAGTCTCTGCCTCTGAGCCCTCTGAGGGAATATGGCTCTGCTGATACCTTATCTCAAACCTGTGGCCTCATAAACTGTGAGAACACATTTCTCTTGATTAGCTAGTATGGTCATTTTATTTATTATTATTATTAATAATGGGGGGGGTTTGCAAAAGCCTTAGAAAATCAATTTAAAAATTATTAGGAAATATCCTCTTTTGCACATAGACAGGTGCCATTTATTTTCCCCCAGGAGAAAGTGCCACTGCAGTCCCCCCCTACCACAAATTATGCAGTCGAATTTCCCATGATTGAGGGAATCACAGAGGTTAGCAACATCCAGAGTGCAATGGATAAGCCTTGCCCTGGGAAAACCACCTTTGAGATCGTGGTATCTCCCCTGCCAGGTAAGTATGATAGGTGCCATTTTGGAAAGATGCACGTATCTTTCTTGATGTCCATAACACATTAAAAAACTAATTGATGAATGCACCTCCCGGCGTGGTGGTACACACCTGTAATCCCAGCACTCAGGAGGCTGAAGCAGGAAGATCGTTACAAGTTTGAGACCAGCCTGGGCTACAAAAGAGCTGAAGGCCAACCTATACTGCATAGTGAAATCCTGTCTCAGAAAGACAAAACAAAAAATGAACAAGCAAAAAACCTAATTAACGATCAAACACAATGGTGCACAACTGTAATCTCAGCTCTTGGGAGGCTGAGGAAGGAGATTTGCTGTGAATTGAGGCCAGTCTAAGCTATAAAGTGAGTTCAAGGCGAGGCTAAACTGCACGGTGAAACTCTATCTCAAAAAGACAAAACAAAAAACTAATTGATGCCTGGGCATGGTGGTGTACACCTGTAATTGCAGCACTCTCGGGAGGCTGAGGTGGGAAGATCCTGTGAGTTCAAGAACAGCCTGGGCTGCCTAAGCAAGTTCAAGGCCAATCTGCACTACATAGTGAGACTGTCTCAAAAATAACTAATTGATAAATTAATTCCTCTGTCTTCAGCTTCCCAACTACAAGCTAGAAATAATGCTCTTTGACATTCTTTTGTCATACAGATAGAGGTTGATTCAGGATTCTTTCTATTGAAGATCAAATGTTCACTCTGCTTATGAAAAAGTGTTTGTATTTTCTGTTATCTGCATTTCCACTACTTGAAGGATTTTACTCAATATATAAGAGACAAAAGATCTAATAAGTTCCCCTTCAGATAAAGTTGAATGGACGCAACCCCTAGAGTATATTTATTTTTCATTTAGATATTTATTCTATGCTTTACAATGTATAAACAGCTTGAATTTTTACAATTAAAATTCTTGGCAGTTACAGGAAACTTGGGAAAATTGTATTTTTAGAATTTAATTCTAAAGCATTAGCTCAGAAATGGATTTCACATTTCTTTTATACACCATGCAGTACACTACCAGAAACACAGACAAAAGGACAAATCCTATATACTTCCAGTTATACCAGGAAGGTATCTGGAGTGGCCAAGTTCATAGAGGTAGAAAATAGAGCACTGATTACCAGGGCTGCAAGGAGAGGAAATCGTGTTTAGTGGACCCCAAGCTTCACTTTGAGTATGTAAAGAAGTTCAGGAGATGAATAGTGGTGAGAGCTGCAAAGAATGGAGATATATTTAATACCACTGAGCTGTACCCCTACAAATGGTTAAACTGGTAAATCTCATGGTTTGTATATTTTACTACAATAAAAAAGTGAAACAGTCATATTTAAGTAAAAACTATTTAAGCAGAAATTCTACCAAGAAAGAAAAGAAAGTAAAAAAGAAAGAGAGAATTTAAAGAATTTCTAAAAGCTGGGCATGGTGACACATGCCCATAATCCTAGCACTCAAGAGGTAGAGGCAGGAAGCTTGCTATGAGTGTGAGGCCAGCCTGGGTTGTGCAGGGAGTTCAAGGCTAGCCTGGACTACATAATGATACCCTTCTCAAAAAACACACAAACAAACAAAATGTCTAAAGTACTCTATAGTATTTTAAGCTATTATTTTTTCCCAAATTTTGTTTATATCTTGTTCTGCATAGGCAATAGCACTTAAAAGTAGCAACATTAAAAAATCACCATTAAGGCCCACATCATTTCTCATTCCCATAAAATCCCCCAGCCTCCTTAGATCACCACTTTGCTGATTTCTTGTGTAGCCTTCCCATCCAGGGTGTCAGACGGCAAAGTTAGCAGGTCATCTGACACAGGCACTGATTCAGCAAAGTGTCCATTCTCTTTTGGCTGCTTTTTATGCAGCTAAAAGCAAACATAAAGATTTTCTCACACAGAAGATGGCATGTTCCACACATAGTTCTTGAACGACTCTCTTAAAGGGTCATAAATTGCTTGAATTAATTATGAGCAGAAGAATAAAACTGACTTCTGGACACACATTATCTCATTCCAAGGTCACAGCAAGCCTGTGACGTGATGGTAGAGCATCACATCCACTGTGCCGCAGAAGCAACAGCACCCACGGCAGTCCTGAGGCTGTTCCCCACTGGGCTGACTGCCCTCTAACAGCGACCAAGAAGAGATGCAAGTGTCTCCGAGGACATGACTATCTGGAGAAGTCAGAAATTGCTTCAGATCTATTTCCAAGGTTATTAGAGTTTATGGAAAATTAATTATGCATAAATAAGTGGGTTTTGCTAACCAATCTTGAAACTTTTTAAAGAAAAAAACAAAGGTACAAAATTTTAAAACAAGATTGTAGGAGAGTAACAATTGCTAGTACATTATATATAGTCATCTTCAAAGTAGATGCTCATATTACAAGATACAGGTGTGAAAATTATCAAACAATATAGGTACAAACCTTTCTTTTCTAATGAACTAATAGCAATTAACAACATAACTATTTCAATTATTTTGTGTGTGTATATATATTTATTTATTTATTAATTTTCCTTTTCCCTTCCTTCTTTTCTCCTTTCCTCCATCCCAGTTTCTCTTTCCTTTTGAACAGTTTCTTCACCTTTCACAATATCTATCATATAGTTTAGATCTTATTTACTTCTACCACTCCTTACACTAGGGAAACAACATAACGTTTACACATGAAAGTCTGATTTATTTCACTTATGAGTATGGTCTCAAGTTGCATTCCTTTCCCTATGAATGTCTCAGTTTATCCTGCTGTGAATTTTTTTTCCTGTTTCCCCCCCCCCAAAAAAAATGGATGGAAGGATTTCATATACTTTCATTCAATTTGCCTCAGTGGCTGAAGTACAAAACCAAAACCAGAGAACTGACATTGAAACAATCCATATAGTTTCATCTTGTTTCTCCAGTTTTGTGTGCTCTGATTTCTGTGTGTGTGTAGATGTGATTTTATGATACGCATAAAGTTGTGCAACCACTGCCACAATCAAGACACAAAACTGTCCTGTCTGAACACATTTTACTTCCATAGCCACAATAGTGTCTTCCACATCCTGGTCCCTGACACCCCACCTGCTCTGTCTCTTATCATTTTGTTCCAAATAAATGAAATTATACAGTATATGATTTTTCTTTTTCAAGTTATTGCATGTAACAATATTTTATTTTTATTGCTGAGTGAACTAGGGCCTTATAGATGTAATACACTGAGGCTGAATACCTCAACTTGTCTGTGTATTTTGATCAAGATAACTAAAGAAAGTGTAATAAAGCTTAGCATCCTACTTGGTTTTATTGGTTTTGTCAGTAACTTGCCACATAACTTGTAAAAACCATTCACTCACTTAATTAAATGTGTTGTGGGCCTGTCGTGAACAATGAACTATGTAAGTGCCTAAAATGTGAAGTAAAATAGAACCATGGAAGTGCCCAGACTTTCAATGACATGGTGATATCTGAAATGTAATCACTGAGCATTTGTGAACATAGACTAAGAATGCGATGCATCACTGAAGAGAAAGCCTCGGGATGTGCAGAATTAGGCTAGAGGCATCAGTAGCTGTTTGAAAGAACATTTGACCGGGATCTTGAAAGATGATAAGCATTTGTTAGGATAAGAATTTTGTTAAGAGAAGGGAGACAAAGAATACTTGTGGAACAGTAGTATCAAAGGCGTATGACCTCAGGACTTGATTCTATCTCCATTACTTAAAGAAAGCACAGTATTATTCACCTTCTACTCATGGACATGTTATTCTGCTGAGCAGGGTTATCTGTTTGCGTGGTCATGGTTCAACAGAAAAGAATGCCATGACAATTGGGAATTTACACTCCGAGATGAATTATCTCAAGATTTATTAATACATTCAAAGCATCTAACCCTAGACAGAAGCCTAACCACTCCGCATTGGATCACTCAACCTCTGGTTTGTCAGGCAGATTTGCCCGGTGTTTCTCCTCTAGACATCCTCTGTGACTTCTTTCTTGAGAGTGATATTCTAAGAAATATTCTTTTATCGCTGAAACTAACCACATTCTGTGGTCTCAGATGTGAGGTTTCTATCTATAACCACTGAAATTAAATAAACTGCTTTTTTAATTATGATTTCTTATAATGTGCCAATAACAGTGTAACCTTTGAACAGAAACAAGGAAAGTTTCTCTTTCTGGAAACAAACTGACATCACTGCAGAGAAGATTAGCAAGATTAGCAATTGGGAAACAAGCGTGACCCCTAACAGGGCTGACCACAGACCTTGGCGGAGCAACGCATCACCCACAAAGAGTGCCACAGTTATGCTGAGGACACACCAACTAAAATCGTATGACAGCAGCACTGCATACCTTCAGGATCCTCACTGAAATGTAAGTATACAAGCAGCAGACTTTGTGAGGGAACTCTCGAAATAAAAACTTGGACTGAGTTGAGGAAAATACTTAATTTTAATTTTCAGATGTTTCTGGAAGCGGACAGCCTGCACCAGCTCCCCTTGGAGGCACTGTGTGCACCAGATGCCAGGACGAGATGAAGCAGCAGAAAGAAGTAGCTGTGACCTGGTGCAGAGTACACCTTGTTCACAGTTTTGTATTATAATGCAGCTCTTCTTAAAAATCAAAAGAAGCTAGTCTTCAAACACAGAAACAAATCAATTTTACATGGGATGTATATGCACTCATCATCAATCAGAATTTAAAATATTTAGTAACTTGGAAAACCATTCATAGGCAGGAAGAACAGTTAGAAAAACCAAGTGTACAATTACCATTCCAAATAGGAAAATGAACAGGAGAAAAATACAATGCAGTATTACCAGTGATCAACTAGAAAGTATGTATTTCTCACACTGTCGCTTTTTTAATATCTCTACAGTGAACTTGCTTTATTCCAATATTGTATATACGTTTACAAATGTATAAATTTGTGCTAAATGTAAACATACATATGACAAGCGCGACAAGAAATTATTCTTTGTGATATGAATCCTTAAAAAAGCTTCCATGGATTTCAGACACC